ACTCTTAAAAGCGCGAGTAGCTATCTTATCTTAGAGTTATTACTATAGAGTAATAGCCGCGTATAGTAAGCTTTTCACGTTCTCTCCAAGCTTCCTAAGTTACTTAGATTTCATTACACTTTATTACCCGCTACTATTAGCGGCTATTTCTAGCTACTTATAGAAACTCAGTCCCTATCGCTTTAGGAGGAGCTTCTAGAAGCTTAGTGACCTATTACTTAAGGTCTTATAACTATTAGCTAGGTAATATAACTTAAGGGTATATTTATTAGCACGCCTCCTTAATACCTAGACCGGTATTATTACTACTTATAGCGTCCCTCCGGTGCTAAAGTAAGAGATAATTAGTCTCTATAGCTTTAGTATCTCTCGAGGCGCCTCGACTTAACCTCTTATAAGGAGTTAGATCTCTACTACTATCGGCGAAGTTATTATTATAAAAGATTATATTATTACTCTCTACCCCTAAGGTCTAACTCTTATAAGGGGGTAATTCAGAGGTCTAAGGGAGCTCTAGTAAGTCGACCTCTATTAGCTCTTATACCTCTAGTACTACCCCCGAGCTTCGTAGAAGCTCTATCAGAGTAATATCTATTAGTTCTAGTACCTCCTTAGTGACTAGTATAGTAGTCTTAATACTAATATCAGCTTTAAATACAGCTTTACTTAGTTTAGCCGTATATTCCGCTGCAACTACATCAGTAATATTATTAATACCGTACTCTATATCTAGAGCGATAACGTTCTCTTCCAGGTCCTTAATAAGCTCTCTTAGAGTAGAGGTAAGTTAGCTAACCTTCCTCTCTTTCTTAGGGGAATAGAACGTTATCTTATTAAACCGGACGTTACACGTGATTACTACACGGCGTAGCTAAGGCACCTAGATCCTATATAAGTTAGAAGTAATATAACTAACTAAGTATCTAACGTGCGCCTTAAGGCTACCTCTATAATTCCTTCTAGCTTCTCTATTAGTTATAACTAGATATATACGCGCCTTATATATATATACTCTACTCTAGTTAGGTCTTAAGTCAGTTAAGAGCTTCTTTACTATTAGTAGATCGTACTACTGAAAATAGTTCCGAAACTATTCCTAGAGTACTTAATTTAGACTCCTTATCCCTTAGTATACGAGAGGACTTATATTATAAAGGTAGATTACTATATAATATACCTCTAGGTAAAGCTTCTCTAGTAGGTTCGCCTAAACGTGTATCTTAATAGATTTAGTAATAATCTCCTATCCTACGCGCTCCGCGCCGCCTATAAGTTCTTTAATATATAGTAAGGGATTCTCTACCTTTATCCCTTCTCTCGTAGTCTATTCCTTATACCTTAATATACCTCGAATAGCTATAACTAAGGTGTTATTATTATACCGAATAATATAGACTAATAGTTTATATTAACGCTTAGTCTAACGCTCGAAGTTCTTTAAGACTAGTATAACATGGCTAGCTAACTTACTTAGTAACATGTAGCTAAAGAGCTTCCTACTATACTCGTCCTTAATAATAAGTAGCTAGCGAGTGCTATTATAACCTATATTAAAGTTAAATAAGTCTTAGAGGATTCAGTAGAACAGCCTAACTACCTTATTCTCTGACTCCCGTCTTAATATAATATTTCCGGCGTATATAATAATATAATCTTTACACTAGATTCTTGATACTCCGTCGAATTATACACCTCTCCCTACTTTAAGTAACGCCTATAGAGTACTCTCTCTTAAATAGCTAGTGCGTAAGTACTATAATTACGGAGTTACAGAACGCTCTTTAAGTAGTTAACTTAATAATTAGAAACTTTACCTATTTAAGCTACGACTTAGAGTCGGGTATATTATAATAGGCGTGCGTATTAAGGTCACTAAGTTATAAGAGCGATAAGAGTATCTGAAAGCTTATATTTAAAGAAAGTCAGGTTAAACTTTTGAACTAGCTATCTAATAACTACGCTCGTCTGAACCTCCCCGTACTATAAAGTAGTATCTTTCCCTAAGTACTATAGCCCGGCGTCTTTTAGTAACGCCTCTAAGATAATATTAATATAGAAATCACAGATTATAGTAATATTATTAAGTAATAAGTCTTAAGTATTTAGACTATTTAGCTTAGCTAAGAAGTTCTTAAACACTTATTTCCTTTTACTAACTACTGGAATTTATTATATTCTAGCTTCCACGTAGTTATTATTAGTTAATCTCTTAAAGGAACTTAGAACTAGCTTATTCTCGTAATTAACTAAGTGCTAAGCGCTATAGTTATTAACTAAGGTACTCTCTAAGAGTACATAAGGAATATTAATAAAGTCCGTAGCGTAGATTCTAAGTATCTCTTTAAGGTCTAAGAGCTTTGAATTAATAGTAGCTATATTAACATTTCCGGGGTACTTCCCTTTAGCTTATTAAGACGATAGTTCTTAGTCCTTACTAAGCTTCTTCCTAGTAATCTAAGCTATAGAGATAGTAGTCTAGCCTTCCTTAGAGATCTCTCAGCGTAGTTCTATATACTTAGGTGCTTAGATAGTTTTACGAATCCTCTTAATTTACTTATTATTTAGACGGAATCTTATACTATTAGCTTAAAAGCTATTATAGGTGAAATAGAGCTTCTAGCACTTAATTAGAAGGTGCTAGTATCTAATTCTATAGAGGCAGTTAGTCTTCCTATCTCCTTAATTTAAACGAGAGCGATTCCGAGAGCTTCCGGAATAGTCTTATAAGCCTCCTGTATTAGAACAACTACTTAGTATCAGTATAGCATAGAAACTATTAGCTCCCTTGCCTCTGTTCTAATAATACTCCTCTATATTCACTATAAACACTAGACTATACTCCTCTAGTGTTATACTATACTAATGTCTTAGAGTGTTATCTCTTATAATATCAGCGAGTACTTAAGCGGCCTAAGTCTTTAACTAAACTAATACTATATTCAGGAAAGCTCGTATACCACGTACTTCTTATATATTAGGAATATTATACGCTCTCGTAAGACGGAAGTTCTTTTACTATAGCTTATACTACATACGAGGTTCAATTCGCGACTTCTTATCTTAACGTATTAGTAGGCTAAGTGTATTAGTATAATCCGAAATAACAGAGGTTAGTATTACCGCGTCTAAAGGTGCTATATTACACTTAATAGACCTGACTAGTGCTTATAGTCCTACGGCGCTCTCGGCCGTATTATTATTAATTACATCAGTTAGAATAGACTAGCTAATAGTACTATTTACCTAGTTAAAGAGGTTCTGAATACAGTTATTAAGCGCTATCTATTTAGCTAGCTTATTCGAGTACTCCCTTATTCGAGCTTCCTAGAGTACCTTAATATCTTTAAACTTAGCTTCCAAGGGCTTACTTATAAACGCCGGTAGTTCTATTATACTCTCTCTTTCCTTAGCAGTAGTAGTGTTCTATTTCACTAGTAAATCTAGGTCGGCTTATATTAACAATACTATCTACTTACTAAAGCGACTATTTATCTCCTCCTATATAAAATCGTCGATACTTAGGAGATTCAGTTATTACTTGATAATATTTCTAATATTATTAGCGTTAAGGTTAATAAATCTCCAGATTCCTTTAAGTTCAGTATAGTACTAGAAGGTCGTTTACTACTAGGGCTACTACTTTCTCTAATTAAGAGTATCGCCCTTATATTTAATTAACTTATCTTAAAAGTACGTTAATATATCTAAGAGGCTTTCTATAGAACTAATAGCGTTAAGAGTATTTCGGGAAGTTCAGGGAGGTATTTAAAGGAGTTCTTTAAGTAGCGGTATAAGTATCTCTTAATACTACCTATAACTCTACTTGTACTATGTAGTATACTTATATAGTAGCTTAAACGAGTAAATATAGCTCTTAACTATCGTGTACTATAGGGAGGAGCTTTATGTAGTATGAAAGTCTTAATTTATTAAGGTATTCTAGAGCTCTCCTATAAGAGAAAGCTCTAGGAGTTCTAGTTATATAAGCAGCCTCTAGTTAGCTAGAGCGCCTTAGGGAGTGCCTCAGGTACGTCAGGTGCACGACATAATCTCTAATAAATAAGAGGTAGGTGTATCACGTAGATAAGAAGATAGTTACTAAGTATTAGAATACTATTTAAAGTTAAGTATAAAGCTCTTATCTAATAGCAGATATACTAGTCTTATATAAAACCTTTGTTCCCTGAGGATCCCTACGGGTCTTGCGATCTAAAGCTCTAAGAGCCTTAGATCCTATGGCTCTAAAAGTTCTATGCTATCACGTGACATATAGTCCCGTGATTCCATTCCTAGTTCTTAGCTTCTCTGTGTAGCAAGGCTGCCGAGCCTTAAGGCTAAGACACACACGTGATACTCCTTCTGAGTGCGTCCGTAACAATTAGTAAGAGAAGTCTACTGTACTTCTCCTGCGACTAAGGTAGGGCGGGAGCTACTGCCTCCGCTAATCAGCAGAGGAAGTACATTATACTTCTACTAGGAATACTGTTAGGGTTTAATTGAGGATCTTTCGGTAGAGGTAGGATTTTTGCACAAGAGCGTCCTTGATACGTCGCTCCCAGTCGACCCAGTTGGCTTTGGAGAGGTCCGGGCAGGAGGCGAGAACCTAGGAGGAGTTTGATTTATCCGTCGAAGCCATTTGTGCGTTTCCTCACAAGTCCAGTATTTGTAGATTCGGCGTTGCTTGCGGGGTTCTTGTTCTCTTGCAAAGAAATGATCGTAGTCGGGTTGAATACGTTCTGGGGGTCGAACGTCGAGTCCGAAGGGAGGGTTCCTGGAAAGTGAAGTGCAGGTAGAGATACCTGAGACGACTGAGGGGTCTTTGCGAGTGAACCAGTTTCTGCGTTCGATTGACGTAGGAGAGTCGGCTTCTGAGGAAGAGGGAGGATTGTATTCGCTAGGCTAGTCCTAGGTTCGCTAGTCCTAGGTTCGCCGTATGACTCTAGCCTCGCAGCCTTGCGACGTCAGCCTTGCCCATGTGATCAGTCCATCACATTATGTATCGCGTTGCAGGATCAGAAAACTTGTGCATGTAAAATAAACCCAAGGTCAAGGTTGCTATCATTGATTGCTTTTGCCAGTTCTAAGTACAGGTCCTCTTGTTGTCATGTCGATCCACCGACCTGCAGAGCCAGAAGGAATATCTCGACGCGGGAGAATACAACGAAGCAGGCGCCCCCAATACCAATGCGTACAAGGATGAATCACTGTCCCATCTGCTGTCCGAATAATAAACGAGTATTTACATGAATTTCGCAGCTTGTTCTGGTCTGCTATTTCTATCATAAGATGTTCCGGGTTGAAACATGCAGTGTTATGACACAAGTGCGACACATGATATTCAGGTTCACTAGTCTTTCGAGAGGTGAGGCGAAGATCCTGTCCATATCCAGCTGCAACAACACCTAACTGATGACTGAAGGGCTGTGAACCCACTTTCCCCCGGCTACTAGGTAGATAGGTATTACGCATATTGAATTTGACGTATCCATTTTCGTGCGCAGTAGCATTCCCTGACATCCAACACCCTAACTCATGTCCTGTACTCACTGCACCTATCTGCCGCCGACAGAAATCAAGTGCAAACCCTGGATTCAGGTCGCAAATCGACTCAATAGTAGTACTAGCGTCGTCCATTTGCTGTTCTTCAGTAACTATTGCTTGCGCAACAGTATCCCGAATCATATTCACAGACTGGCTTGTACTAGGACGAGGAGGGGTACAAGGCGGGAAAGGAGGAGGCTGAAGAGTCGTAATGATAGCATCTTGGTCATTAAGCGAACGTCGTACATCCCTCCAAAACGCAGTCAGTGATTGCCTCTGGGTACTAGTTGCAGATAACAGCAGATCTCTAAACGCAGAGAGATGCTCACTAGCAGTTCGCTCTGAACCTTGACACTGAGTAGAAGGCATTCTGATTAACAACTACTAAGTAACAGATTGTTGGTATCGTACCTGTAAACAAATAACAAGTGTATATCGATATACGTCAAAATCAAAGGTTCAATTTAAAGGTGTTCAAAAGTATGTATTGTAAAGAGTGTCTAAGGGTCAGAATATATACCACTTCTCGAACAGCCCCCGGCTAGCCTCCGAAGGGGGTCCTTCCCCTAACTGGGATTACCTGTCCCCCTTGATTGCCCCTGATATTTCCATGGTATAGGTCTGCGGACCAACAAAAGTATCTAATCTTCTATCCCCTTAACTGCGTTTCTACTCCGTATGCACCGTCCTGAAAGCCCTGTAAGTGAAGCCTGTAAGCGAGACTGCTAGCCTAAAGGAGGATTGATACACAGACGACCCCCCCCACACGACCTCCCCCCTTGTCAGACGAATCAGAAGCTTCAAAAACCACGAAAAATTGTAGGCACAAAGGTATTAAAATCACATTCTCCCACGCTTTGGTTAGCAAACCCCCAGAGGGGACCCCGTGCTATACCTACGCTCTAACCCTAACTGACCCTAACCGTTTGTAACCTTTAGAAATATGCTCAGGAGTAGTACAAGTGTGAATGTGCAAAGTAGTGTTGATAGCAGTCCTCTATTGGCTGCAAGGGGGGGTCGTCTGTGTATCATTCCTCGCCTAAAGAGTTGTCAGATCGGCCGCTAAAGCTTGCCCCACACGCTGTTGCCACCCTGGAGCACGTTGAAGGAGACGTGCATGCCACAGTTAAGGGGATAAGGCTGTGAGCTCTAAGGATAAAGCATTAACGCCTCGCCGAAATCGCTAGCGCCTTAGGCAGAATCAGCTAAACACTCCGAGCACAGGCCACCTAAATTTAACAGCCTTCTCAAACCACCAAACTCTGTCCCGACCGCGACACATACACTTACACTTACACTCGTTCAACTTTGTTCGGCTGACATGACGGGCAATGGATGCATCTAGTAATTTGCGCTTTGTGGAGTTACAAGGTCAAACAAAGTTTACTTCTTTCCAACTGTGAGTCGTGTCGCACCCTATTTTATATGTTCTTCCTGTACAGCTCCATCCCTGAATCATTTCTGTAAAATGATTGGGCATCTTAGAACATCATCAGGCTGAAATTTTTCCACTTTGAGCAGTTGGCCAGCATGAAGTCCATAAGCTGATTATTAAAAAGGCGCACAGCATGACTTTGGTCAGCTCCGCGTCGAGATGCGCGATTTTTCGCCTGCCAAGTGGGTGCAGGAGGTCCGTGGTGCGGACTGCACTCGGATACCAAAGAACACATGAGAGCTATTCTTTGGCCGGCAGCAAATTACAACCAAAGTCTGGCCTTGTATCAACTCATCAAGTTGTATGCTCTACATTGCATAGAAGACATCTTCACCAATCGCTCAACAGACCTTCACTAGCTGCAACCCAGACACCAACCTCGCGGTCTCCTGAGCCAGAAACTCAACCGCTAGCAGCATACAAGGCTCCAAAGACCGGGCTCCTCTCAATATTACCTTCGTCATGGGTACCTTACGCAGAGCTTGTCAGACTTGACAAACCTACTGGAACTTACTACCTCTTCTTTCCCTGTCTCTTCTCGACCCTCCTCGCTGCTCCGTTAGCAGTCCCAATGGCACCTCCTCTCTCCGTTCTCAGCACATCTATACTCTTCTTCAGTGGTGCCCTTATCATGCGTGGAGCAGGCTGCACCATTAATGATCTCTGGGATCGTAACCTCGACCCGCACGTGCGACGGACACGTCTCCGCCCCATCGCTCGAGGAGCAGTGACACCTTTCAATGCCCTGGCATTCACAGGCGTACAACTCTTCACCGGACTCGGGATACTTCTCCAGTTCCCAACTCAATGCCTATTCTATGGGATTCCCAGCTTGTTGCTTGTTGCTTCATACCCACTGGCCAAGCGAGTCACACATTATCCACAATTTGTTCTAGGGTTGACTTTCTCGTGGGGAGCTATTATGGGTTTCCCAGCTCTTGGAGTGGACTTGTTGCAGAACAATGCTGCGTTAGCTGCTGCTGGATTTCTCTACACTTCCAATATCGCGTGGACGGTGTTGTACGACATGATCTATGCTCATATGGATATCAAGGACGATGCTAAAGCTGGGATCAAAAGTATTGCCTTGAGACATGATGTGCAAACGAAGCAGATCCTGAGTGGGTTAGCTGTGACCCAGATCGGCTTGCTGGCAGCTGCTGGGGTCGCTGTGGGAGCAGGTCCAATTTTCTTCGTCGGTAGCTGCGGAGGTGCGGCTATTACATTGGCTGTTATGATCAAGAAAGTCAATCTCAAGAGTGTCAAGGATTGCTGGTGGTGGTTTGTGAATGGGTGTTGGCTGACTGGTGGTGTAATATCAGCTGGGTTGGGAGCAGAGTATCTCGTACAGTATTCAAAGAGATCTGATACAGCAAAGGTGGTGGCTAAAGATAGATGAAAGAGCGCTTGTTCGACCGTGACTGTTGATCCACAAACCTATTCAAGGGGGGCTTGTACGATACCAACACATAAACTTGACATTTGTACAATTCAACTCCTCTATTTACAATTGACAATGGCCTACTCCATAGACTTGACATTATTTGCAACTTTGAACTTCGCGCCAGTCTTACTCTTCACCTGATCCAAATCAACTCCTGGTGCTAACTCCGTGAGTGTTAAGCCGCCCTTTACTCTATCCACTTCAAATACACACTACAAAGATTAGCTTCAGCCTTCTGAAACATAAAACACGTAACTTACCAGATCCGTAATAATCGTACTAACGACCTTTGCCCCCGTCAAAGGCAGACTACAAGTCTCAACAATCTTCGGGCTACCATCCTTCGCAACATGATCCGTAGCAACCACGATCTTGGTCTGATCCGGGTTTCCAACCAAATCCATCGCTCCTCCCATACCCTTGAAGACCTTACCTGGAATCATGAAGTTTGCGAGATCTCCATTAGCAGACACTTGGAGTGCACCGAGAACGGAAACATCGATGTGGCCGCCTCGGATCATAGCGAAAGACTCGGCAGAATCGAATGTTGAGGCGCCAGGTACGAGAGTCACGGTTTCTTTGCCGGCGTTGATTACATCGCTGTTAATGTCAGCTTGATTTGCTGCGATTTTACGTGCCAAGTACTTACGCATCAACCTGTTCTTCCGTGGGGTATGGTCCCTAGTTTTATTTAGATTTTTCCGCGCTTCAGTTGAAGGCACAGTTGAGCTTACCATTCCGAGAAGTCCATTCTCCGACTGAATCCAAACTTTGGTCTCTGGCGACAAGTATGATGGTGCCAGGGTAGGCATTCCTGGAAAGTGTTAAGACGGCACAAAGACCATCAGAATGCACACTCACCAACTCCAAGATTCACATAATATCCATGCTTCAATTCCTTCGACGTCCTCTTGGCAATTCTCTCTCGTCGCAGCTGAGAATCAGATTTCTTCACCTCACCCTTACCCTCAACCGGTTTCAGCACCTTACTTTCGAGAGTCTTCTCAACTGTTGCAGGTACAATACGATCCACGTAAATCCCAGGAATATGAACATTGTCGGGGTGGATCTCTCCAACAGGAACGATGTTCTCCGCTTCGACAATGGTAATCTTAGCTGCCTTTGCCATGATCTGTCCAAATGTCTTGGTGGTGTATCGGAATTGACAGTTTCCTGCCTCATCGACCTTGTATGCTCGCAGAATCGCAACGTCGCCTTTAATCGCATTCTCCATGTTATAGATCTTGCCGTCGAATATCCTTGTTTCTCTGGGCTTGCCGGCCTCGAGAATGGTGGTCTTTCCTGTCGCCTTGTCCACGGGTCCGAGTCTTACGGGAATGTCTCCAGATTGTAACAAGGTATCTATAATAGTCAGTGTGGTTCCATGGGGAAGACCAAACATAACTTACTAACTCCTGTAGGGGTATAAAACGCTGGGATGCCAGCACCACCAGCACGTATCCTCTCAGCAATGGTTCCCTGCGGACACAACTCAATTGCAATCTCTCCAGACAGATACTTTTTCTCCAGTGTTTTGTTTGCGCCGAGGAAAGACAGGATCAATCGTTCGATCTGTCCGGATTCCACAAGAGGTGATAATCCTCCACCACTTCCTGAGCCCGCATTGTTTGACACTGCTGTGAGGCCACTCAACCCCTCCTTCCCTCTCCTTTCGATGGCTGCGATAATGGTTTCTACGATTGAGTTAGCATGAGTATCAAATCCTGGTGCGTGATTTCCTCACCAGCTGTCCCGCAAAGCCCAAACCCAGCACTCAATACTATTGATCCACTCTTCAAATCTGCCACCGCATCGTCCGCATTCTTGTACACCTTCGATCCTCCTCGCACAGCTGTCGGCGCCGGATCTCGCTTCGCGCTGGTATTCGCTTTCTGTTCGTATCGTATCGACGTCGTGTGAAGCTGTCGTAGGATCAGGAATCGTGGGGTGGGGTTCGTTCGAGCGGTTCTGAAGATGGCATTACGTGTCGAGCTTGCTAGGCAAATGGTTGCGATGCGTCTGGTAGCCATTTTTACAGATTGGAATCAGAGTCTAAATGGTAAGGTAGAGGAAACAAAATAAAATTGTAAACATGGAGTGGAGGTTGAAGTCGAAGATATGATGACGATTCCTGTTCTCCACCACCAGTTCTGCTCACACAGCTCCGAGCCCGACAAATATGGATCGGCCATTGTTTTATTAGCGATGGACTCGACAGTGACGGGATCTTGCAGGCGTTCGGATGTTACCTTTGCCGGCTTTACCTAGGGTAGGACCGCCAGCTACGCCCGCCCAATATGATGGCACGTGAGAATACCAAGGATCTTTGCTCGTAATACTCTAGAATTAAACTCCGAGACGGCGCGGCTGTATTTCTGTTGCCGATTGCTGTGAATCGAAAGATATAGATCTTATGGGTAAAGCAAGTGAAAGATAGTAAAAAACCTCACTAGACTACCTACTCAGAAGCTTTGAGCCTTAGGTACCCAGGTAGATCCTAAGGTAAAGCTCTGAAAGCTTTATGATAATCATGTGACTCTAAGTACTGGGATTCCGTCTTTGACTACAGTCCCTTTCAATGTAGTTTCGGAATACTTAGCTATAGGTAAGGTATCCGGAAACTGTTCGTAACTTGCTTTTCATTCCGGTTCTCAGGGTCTACACCATTTCCCCGAGCTTTTTTATATACAAACAATTATACTGCTTGGCCTCGTAGAAAAAGCAACGTTTCTTACCTTATTCAAACAACTGCCAAGTACTCCGAAATTAAGTTGAAAGGGACTGTACTCGTAGGTAGGTATCTAGCTTCCCCGCTATCTTATGCAGCGAGGCTGTGGAGAGCCTTAATCCAAAGACGCTCTTCCTATCTCTGATCGTCACAGCCCTTTAACAACTTGATAAGGTACTTGCTAAGAACATTTATAGCCCAGACCACTGAAGGCAGCTAGCCTATAAGTCTTTGATCCCTTCTACCTCAGATATTCGAAGAGCAGATCCTGGGGTACAGCAACAGAGAACCATTTTATCACCAGCGCCGACTTGTGAACCTGACTTCTAGAATCGATATTTGTACTCCTGTACTATATCTGTTGTTCTCTTGGGTAATTGAATTGAGTGGCAATGCGAGAGATCTGAAGGGTAATACGGGCAGTCGATGTGGAAGAGGCTGGGAGGTCCTCCAAAGCCCATTCAACATTGCCGAGGATTCCCCATGACGTTGCCGAAGCCCCACTAAGCCGCATCATATGGCGCCCTGCAAGTCGAAAACATCTCCCTAGTTTTCGTTCCCCCACTTCAACTCTGGTCTATTGTACATCTGAAATATCTCCTTGCACTGTCTCTTGTCGCGCCTCGCTCTACCTTATTTCAGATGCAACGCTACCTACACTCGGAAACTCTAACGACCGAAGAGAGAGATAGTGGGGTGAAGACACGCCAGACACGACAGGAAGACCGAGTTAGGGGATGTGCATATTACGTGCTTGAGACACGGTCTTTAAGTGGGTGCCCGCGCGAGGCTGCGGAAAGGGCCTGGCAGAGTGGGGGTCTCCTAGAGGATTGATTACAAAGGGGCATCGCAGTGCATCCAATCTGCGTGTGGTGAAGTGGTGGACTTCTGGAATTGTTACGATATCCATCGAGGGGGGGAAGAGGGTGAGACTGCATCTGCAAAAGCGGTTAATTGTTGGCAGAACAGAAAAGACCCGGACGCGACAACTATTCTGTCTCGAGATATTTGCTGGTAGCCTTCTCCAGCCTCGGCGGAACCTGCGCATGCGATTCGAAGAGAAAGAGACTTCAAGAGCATAATAGTTGTACGATTCGGAACATACATCCAGCAGCATACACGAGGAAAAGGAAGGCAGCACTTGAGAACATACGTGCTTCCAGAACATATCTCCTCTTTGAGTGAGTGAGTAGAGCAAAATGGGGCTCTTGTGAGTTTTGCCAGGAGACTATAGCATGGAAATGCCATCACATAGGTAGACGCTAATCCTGTATCTTTATAGAGCTTTAGGAACCCCGCTCGACTGGCCGGAAGCTAAGAATAATGCGAATCATGTCCGGGAATGGGGGATCAAGGTACAGATAGCTATGACTTGAGAGGACCGCATACTGATAAGGCGGTTGATTAGCAATTGTTAGCCATATGGAATAGGGCAAAGGGAAAAGAGAAAGATGCTCTACTCTGGGGTGATGAGGTTCGTTCTAGGTACAGATTATGGGTGAATGGCACTGATAGGGATACAGGTCGAATATCTGGTTGTTACATATCAGGAAACAGATCCTCGGGTTACACTATCCTTGAGACAGGCGGATATCTTGACTGCTCTGGCACAGGACGAGAAGTTATGCATAGAAGGAGGTTGTGTGCCAGATTTGCAGGATGTAGACAGGTATAACATGTGTGGTTTTCGTAACAAGCTTTTCTGACTTGAACAGGGCAAGCACGCTACCAATCTTCCATCCTGAGTTCGGACGATTCATGCTGGAGGCTACACCTGGAAAACCGTGGGGAATCGGCTTCAAGGATTTATTAGATGTGGAGACAAACATGAGATTGAGGTAAGGCTGATGATAATCGAAATTTTCGAATTTCTCTAATTAGAACAGGCGAAAAATTGCAAAGGATCATATGCATCCAGAAGAATATCCCATCACATTAACGACATATCCGCGACTTGGAAGCCCAGGGATTTTCACGACACCATATTTCCCGCTATCTGGCTGTAAGCTACGGTCACAATTTGTCCCTGACGAAATTGCAAACCCTCACATCCGATTCCCTACTTTGGCAGCAAATATCCGCTCACGAAGAGGCCGAAAGGTTCAAGTGAACGTTCCAGTATTCAAAGACGAGAATACTCCTTGGCCTTGGAAAGATCCTACAGTCAACTATGATTTACACAACTGGCCTGAAGACGATGATGTCCGGAATGGGGCTTCTCCAGATAATTTCATTCATATGGATGCCATGGCTTTTGGAATGGGAAGCTGTTGTTTACAGATCACTTTTCAGGCTAAGAACATCACAGAAGGACGAAAGATGTATGATCAGTTGAGTCCGTTAGGTCCAATTCTTTTGGCTCTAACTGCGGCTACTCCAATCTACAAAGGATTCTTAGCAGACACAGATGTGCGGTGGAATCAGATCAGCGCCGCAGTCGATGATCGGACACCTGAGGAATTAGGGGAGAAGGTAGGCGCTCTAAACTTCGTGCGCTACGAAGTTAACATATTCCAGCCCTTGAAAGACAGCCGTTGGCGAATACCAAAATCTCGTTATGCCTCGAACTCTACCTACATATCAGATGATCCCCGCCTAAGGAAGGAATATCTTGATCCTGAACTCGTCACAGATCCAGACGTTAAACAACAACTCATGGACGGCGGTATGGATTCTGTCCTCGCTACCCACTTTGCACATCTCTTTATCCGCGACCCTATTGTAATCTTCGCCGAAGACCTCCAAGATCTCGACCTTACCAAAACCGACCACTTTGAAAACCTGCAATCCACAAATTGGCAGCACATCCGCTTCAAGCCTCCACCACCGAACAATGACATCGGCTGGCGAGTCGAATTCCGACCCATGGAAATCCAAATCACCGACTTTGAAAACGCCGCATTCTCGGTGTTCATTGTCCTCATCACCCGCGCTATCCTCAGTTTCGACCTCAACTTCTATATCCCTATCCCTAAAACAGACGAGAACATGAAAACAGCCCACAACCGTGACGCTGTCCTGAAAGACAAATTCTACTTCCGCAAAAACCCCTTCCCGACACGCTTTCCCCGCCCGTATTCTCAGAATGGCGGCTCGAGGTCAGGAACTAACACCCCTACTATCAGCCGTCCGCCCTCGCCTACAGGCCCAGTCGAGGACGAATACGCGCTCATGAGCATCGACGAGATCATGAATGGCAGCAAGCCTGACTCTGATAACAACTTCCCAGGTCTGATCCCTCTCGTGGAGAGCTATCTCGATAGTATGAACGTCGATGTCAAGACGAGGTGCGAGTTAGCTGCGTACCTGAACCTGATCAGACGGCGTGCCGACGGCACGCTCTGGACGGCTGCGAAGTGGATCAGGGAATTTGTGAGAAGCCATGAGGAGTACAAGGGGGACAGCGCAGTGGGAGAGAAGATCAATCATGATTTGATTGGGGCGGTGATTAAGATTGAGAGTGGAGGACGGAAGGACGTTAAGGATATAAAGAGCTTTCTTGGGAAAGAGAATTCATGGTGTAGCTAGTGATCAGTGAAGCCTTGAGTGGTTTCGCTGGTACGTAATCAGCTATTGTGCACATGTAGTGAAGATGTAGTGGCAACTAGATCTTATCCATGACGCTGGCCATATAAAACAGATTCGAGCGTCTCACAGAGGCCTCGGATCTCAACTAGACTCAAGTGAAGGTAATCAGATTCTATTTAGAGTCTACAGCTGAAGAGAGAAGAAGGTAAGGGAGGAGTAGAGACTATGTACATGAGACATCCTGACTTTCCACGCCGGCTTAGGCCCTTGCCGTATGTCAAGGGCCAAAATTCAGCTAACGTCGCACTTTACGGACCAGCGACCATAATAGGCGTGGTCCATAAGACGTCTATCTGCACCCAATTCAACTGGCAGTGGCTCTTGTTTTCCGCCGGTTTGAACCTGGCAACTGCGATTCTTTTCTTCCTGGCCACGGTTCTTCGCCGCTGCGACAAAAGTTATGTGCCTAGTTGGAAAGCATCTCTGCTACCCCTTCTATTTTATGGATTTGTCTCTAACGACTCATCAACAACTGTTCGGTCCCAAGAAAATGCAGAGAAAGACAACGGTTCTGAGCTTAAGCCAAGTCAGCTCTACGATCTATCGCACTTGGATGAGCTGGCGGGTGCAACATTTGTTCGATTCCGGCGGACAGATCAGGGAGCTGGATTTAAGTGCTGGAATCAAAGATGGCACGTTAGGGGACATAGACGGGTAATAGGGCTGACTAGTACAAGCAACGCTTCCAGATAGTTACTACCATTAATAACTCCGTTGGCACACTTCCCAGAGCGAATGCTCGTGGTTTTGCTGTGGCTTTATTGTATTTGATATTTGGTAGATATTTAATGACTCTTGTGATTGGATAAAGTCCACCCGCCAAGCGAAGATGCTATCGGTGATGTGGCTTGTGATGTGCGAGTCTTAATGGCAGTGAAACTGTGAAATGAGGTCTCTCGATCTCAGAATTTCTCAAACGAGATTCTAAACTCTCGAGGAAAGCCAGAGCTGGAAGTATTCTTACCCCTTCCTCGATGAAACATGCTTTTCTTGTCAGGAAGTGCCAGAATTGTCTGTAAGAGTAAAACTTTGGACGCTGTGAGAAAATTCCTGTTCGTACTGAACACCAAGTATTCCGCATTGTGGCGACCCTGTTTTTTGATCCTCAACACAGTGCTTCCCCTCGAGAATACATATCCGTAGTTGATGTCTCTGAACGATTGCGGACTCGGTGTACTGGCCTAACCCTTAGCACCCCATATGATGAAGCCGACATAACTGGGTACCTAAAACATAAAATTCTCAAGGGCAGCTGTGACTATGACTCTAATATCTGAGGATCTGTTCCCGCCGACTATTTCGCTCATTCCACTTCTTGGACAAACTTATTTGTCACCCATCCCCTGATGTAAGAGAAATTCGATCTTTCCGCTCGTTAAGCAACCTAGGATTGTCAATGCTGTTGCTGTTGTCACATCGAGGTCCTGGACATCGCCAAGCCCATTTCCCATTGGTCACATGACGTCCCTCCCGTTTCTCGGACTCTAACTGAGTTTCAAAAAGTCCAAACCCCTCTACCTACCCCTCTACCCCTCTGTCGCATTGCGTCAACATCTATAACAATTCTTCTCGGCATTACCCCAAAATGGCTGGCAAAAACTCTCCATTCAATCTGCAGACTTGTGCTCGTCCGAATATACTTGCACTGGAACCATATCGCTGTGCAAGAGAGTACGATGTTAATTCATATTCCTGGTGTTGATTGCATGAGCACTGACTCACCCCCCAGTGACTACAAAGACGACGGATCGAATATCCTCCTCGATGCCAATGAGAATGCATTCGGGCCAGCTATTCCTCTGTTGAACAATCCGAATGCCCAAGATGAAAAAGCAGGAAACACGCAAATCGACTTGTACCGTTTGAACCGTTATCCAGATCCACACCAATACCCTCTTAAGCAGCTATTATGCAACGTACGAAACACTCACGTTCACACACCGAAGAACATCACACCCGAGAATCTGTTTGTAGGAGTTGGAAGCGACGAGGCAATTGATGCTCTGCTGCGCTGTTTCTGCGTGCCCGGAAAGGACAAGATTCTGGTATGTCCGCCAACATACGGAATGTACTCTGTGTCCGCACAGGTGAACGATGTTGGGCTTGTAAAAGTGCCACTCCTTCCCGCGCCGGAATTTGCAATCGACGTCCCGGCCATAATATCTGCGCTTTCCTCTCCCGATGCGGCGAATATCAAGATCATATATATCTGCTCGCCAGGAAATCCGACGGGTTCATTGATCAAGAAGGAAGATTTACAACAAGTGCTGGAGCACCCAACGTGGAATGGCATTGTTGTATTGGACGAGGCATATATTGATTTTGCGCCAGAGGGTTCATCTCTTGCGGAATGGGTTGCAGAGTGGCCAAACCTGGTTGTTATGCAGACACTTTCGAAAGCATTCGGGCTGGCTGGTATTCGGTTAGGTGCTGCATTTACGTCACCTCCAATTGCTTCATTACTGAACAATCTAAAGGCGCCGTATAACATCAGTAATCCAACGAGTCAGATTGCTATTTCAGCATTGTCGCCGGAAAACTTGGATATCATGACTTCTAAGAAGGAGAAAATCATCGAGCAGAGAGACAGGTTACTTGCTGAGCTCCCGAGAATCACAGGTGTCGGGAGATTCCGAGGTGGAACAGCAAGCAATTTCTTGCTTGTAGAAATATTAGACTCTCAAGGCAACCCAAACAACACAACTGCACTGAAAGTGTACGAGACACTAGCACAGAATAGGGGCGTGGTGGTTAGGTTTAGAGGAAAAGAGCACGGTTGTTTAGGCTGTGTGAGAATCACAGTTGGGACAGAAAAGGAGGTCACGAGATTCCTAGAAGAGATAAGGGACGTTCTGAAGAAGGTCAACTTAAGGTCAGAAATATCCAATGGAAGTCTAGAGGCAAAGAAAGAGGAGGAAGCAAATGCGGTTATTCCATAGATAAACTCTCTAAATAGAGAACCATAATAGGTGATATTCATTGTTCCACCCTTGAGAATTTCTAACATCTAAATACGAAGCACATGATGAGTAGGGAATAAGATTCACGTCTCGAGCTTTCTATCAATGCTATGTTAAGTAGGCTACGTCACATATACAAGATGCCAGGAGATAGCTCTTTAGATATGTGATATATATATAAAGCAAACTTCCGACTGCTCTCCCTATTGATTTCAAATCTAGTCCCCTTTTTATGCAAGCAATGGTAACCATCTAAGAATATATAATTCCAATAAAGATTGTGAAATACCCGCCTGTCAGAGTTACATTGTTGGACTGGTTCTTGCTATTGGATTTCCGTCGTGGAACACGTTCCCAAAAATTCAACATGAAAAGGAAAACAGAAAGCCTTCAGAACCCAACTCTAGATTATCGCCTTTATGAGTTGTTAGGCGGTAAGGCTAGCTTAGTATTTCTCAGAGCCTGTTAAGAAAGAATATCGTTCACGTCAAGGGACGGAGTATACAGATTAAAATGACAAAAGCTCATTTAATCCAAACTATGTAATGAAGTACGTAAGTAACGTAACTCAACGCAAAGGAAGCGTATTCCATAGCAGACATAAATCAATCAGTGGAAGAGCTGGAATCTGAACTCGCACTCACATGAATCGAGTTTCATAGCAAACAGTACGAAAGTAATGAGGTTATGAAGATATCACATATTTTCACTTGACCAATGTCTCTGTACCTAATTTCTAGGTTTCAAGATAAATCCTTATAAATCGCCAAACACCTCTCCTCCAACCACTTCGCAAACCTTACACTCGGCGCATCTACCAACCTTTCCACCTGTGCCGCTATAGCAAATACAACCGTGGTAAACGGCACATACCAAATCACACAAACAAGCCAGTACCAGAAACCGCCCTGATTCTGCACCAGCCCAAACAGCCCAAGTAGGAACCGCTGCATCACAAATCCAAAGAGCATCACGCAGAACTGATGTACTAGGTACAGTGAGAACGCGATCTTGCCGAGATACTGACAAATATTCGTCTCGAAGAAACTCTTAAATGAGGGGAGTTGAGACGTGCAGAGTAGCATTGTGAGCCCAGATATCGACCACCAGAACCTCGAATGGTCTTCCATGTTCAAGGTCATGGGGATGCTGGATCGTAAAGTCTCGTACCCTACCATCGGCAGCACATGAGCTTCTGGATACGAGAGTGTTGGGAAACCAGCGATGTAGAATGCAACTGCAAACAAAATCTTCCACAGCACGGCGCACTGCCATCGTTGGGTCGATAATGGACTCGCGCCGTTGTCTTCCTGTGCAAGGTTAAAATCCGCTAGAAGCATTCCGGTCGAAAAGCAGAATCCGTTCCAAGCTCCGAGGTACATGCAAACTGCTGCGAATATGGCCACTAATACCATTCTTGTCGCATTGCTAGGAACGCGCGCGAGTAGCAGGAGGAGGAAATACACGATGAAAGAGCCGTAGAATTCCAGCGGGATGGTCCAGATCACAGGGTCATATTTGGGATGGATGACGAATCCTTGGATTGCGGTATTGAAATTGTAGAACGGGTTGACTAGGTAGTTGGTCTCTTTTATCCAGTCCAGAAATTGAGCCCATGCTGTAGATTCGGCTAAGAATGTGAAGTTTAGTGGAGGAGCGTATCCAAACCGTGTCGCGATCATTTCGCAAAACGTCAGGAGGATAGGTGGAAGGTACAGTCTGAATCCTCGACGGAACATGGATGAAGCGACTGATGGATATACAAGCTGCCTTGAACCGGCTCGTATCCACCGGAGAGATCGGTACGTCAGGACGTATCCAGACAGCACAAAGAAGACGCAAACTGAGGCTCCTCCAGAATCAAAGAATGTCCGCAACGCAGGCAGCTGCAAGATGTTGGTCTGATCCGGCTCAGCATGCCAAGCTGGAAATATCGTATGCCAGCAGCTAATGGTATGGAAAACATACACCTCCAATGCCGCGATTCCCCTCACGCCATCAAGCCAAGAAGTCGGTTTAATCTTCAGTGAGTCCGGAGCAGGATACGACAGCAGCGTCTGGATAATCGGCGACTCCTCCAGACAAGAAAACAACGATCTCGAGCGCTTGTTGACGTGCGATCCTGGAATCAGTCCCTCCTCATCTCGCATCATAGCCTCCAAGTCAAAAGATCCATCTCGCGACTCCAGATCCAGGTCGATGCTAGGACGAGCATTGAAGAATGCCGTTCTATCATGGCCCATGTCCATGCTTTTAGAGAACAGAAAGCACTCCTTCGGCTCTCGATCCCTCGACGCTGATCGACTCCCCGGCGCTGACACTGACGAGATTATCACCCTATCTAACATTTGTCGTGGTGGAAAGCCGACGTGAGAGACGGGGTTGAGTAGCTGTGACAGCCTCCTCTGACTATGTAAATATCAAAAGAACCGAATGCCAAAATGTTTAAAAGTGAGGCTCACCTCGATATCTTGCTTTTGAGAGAGCTGATGCGAAAAGTGTTTCATGGTCACGTGTTGCTGTTTCACGATCTTAGGTCGGCTAGAAATGAGGGTGAAGCTGTCTGTGCTGATGTTCGTGAGTAGCTAGTGATGCGAGAGCAGCATGTTATCTGATGCTTGATTCGCTGACATTTCGCAAAGCGTTGCCGCCCCCCTCCCCCAGCTTTGGTGGTGACGTTGGAGAGCGGAGCGAGGAGTTCGAACCTTAAAGCTCCTCCTGGCACTAGCTGCATATCAAAACATACAATATGTAGTTAAACATCGATAGCACATGCTTGGCCAAGGAACTGCTGATCTGACAGCCCCGGACCGGAATATGAGATATTGACTCTTTACGTCTTCCTCGCAGCTGCCACATCAGGGTCATGCCTGGTGGGAATAGAACGGAGTTCAGGGTATCCCCTCACTCAGAAATGCCCATCATGTAGTCTAGCACGGAAGTGTAAGGAGTGAACTTTTCAACAAGTTGCGTCAACCACAGGGCATGTTTACTCTTGCGACCCCTGTCGAGATTCTGGTAGATATGTTTGTTTATTTTTGTTTCGTCGGCTAAATTGTTTATTCAAACTTGGTTTCGGTCTACAACAACTGCCATTACAAATGCCATTACAACTGGTAATATGAATAAGTAAAGAATGTTTTGATGTCAGGAAACCTTAATATACTTTTATTATTTGCACTCCTGTATTTGCACTTTTCAATGTGTAGTCGTAACGCCCCCTTAGGTACATGTCAAATCGCATAATAATAATCATAATCTAAACCTCATTACTCGGGTATGCAACCTTGAGAGTCGGGTTGAACTCTTCCTTGATACTCCTCATGCTCACAAATCTCGTCAAAAATGTCTGGCTTCCGGCTTTGTCGTTTGTTCCACTGGCTCTAGCACCACCAAATGGCTGTTGGCCAACAACAGCTCCCGTGCTCTTGCAGTTGATATAGAAGTTTCCTGCAGAGTTCCTTAGAGCATCCTCGGCATAGCGGACAGCAGCTCTGTCAGAGGCGAAAATGGATCCAGTAAGACCATATTCTGATGTGCTATCAACAAGCTCGCAGGCAGATTTAAATGCCTCAACGGGGGATGTGGTATCATCGTAGATGTATACCGTCAGAATTGGGCCGAATAGTTCTGCCGAAAGAAGGTGGTGGTTCGGGTTGGTAGTAGTGTAAATTGTAGGGTGAATGAAATAGCCAGTCGAGTCGTCATATTTGCCTCCTACGAGCAATTCAAGGTCCTTGTCATTTTTCGCAGCGTCAATGACTCCTGAAAGCTTCTTGAAGGATCCAGCATGAATGACGGGTCCAATAAAGTTCTTATGATCTGTCGGTACTCCAATAGAAAGCGCAGATGTCTCTGAGACAAGTTTTTCTTTAAATTGAGGCCAGACAGACTTAGGGACGTATACTCTGGATGTTGCACTACACTTCTGTCCTTGATACTCGAAAGCGCCACGCACCGTCTGTACTGCTGCATTCTCGATATCTGCCGAGGGGTGGATGAGATGGAAGTTCTTTCCTCCCGTCTCACCGACGATTCTTGGGTAACCTTGATATCTGCCCTCCGCAACACCATTGGCGATAGATCCGTACAACTTCCTGAAGACGGCGGTACTACCGGTGTAGTGAAGACACGCGAGCTTCTTGTGTGCAAGCACAACTTTTGTGACTTCTTCTGGGTTTCCGGGCACGAACTGAATAACGTTCTTTGGAAGACCAGCTTCAAGAAGAATGTTGTACAGCAGCCAATTCGAAGCAATTGCCGAATCTGAGGGCTTCCATACCACGACGTTGCCCATCAGCGCTGGTGCACCAGGCAGATTACCAGCAATAGCTGTGAAGTTGAACGGGGTGACCGCGTAGACAAAGCCTTCCAGTGGCCGGTATTCCACTCTGTTCCATACACCTGGTGAGTTATGTGCTGGCTGTTGTGCATACAGTTCCTCCGCAAATTGCACGTTGAATCTCAAGAAGTCGACCAGTTCCGCAGCCGAATCGATTTCTGCCTGCCACGCATTCTTGCCTTGCCCAAGCATTGTCGCAGCCATTATCTCATATCTGTATTTCCCAGCAATCAAATCCGCAGCCTTCAAGAAGATGGCAGCTCTGTCCGAAAAGGGTAGAGATTCCCATGCTGGCTTTGCTGCCAATGCAGCATCGATGGCAGCAGATACATCAGATGGGGAGGCGTTTGAGTAGGAGGCGACGGTGGAGGAGTGGTTAGAAGGGTTTTGTTGGGTTGAAATTGTCGAAGTTTTGATCTGCCGTGGTTAGAAATGTACTTCTATCAATGCTCTTATGATGATTGACTAACCTCTTTACCTCCAACCACAATTGGGACTTCGATAGGCGTCCCTTTCTGGAAGCTGTCAAGGGCGGCCGTGAGACCCTCACGCTGGGTCGAGCCTTTCGCATAATGGTGCTGTTAGGGTTAGTATAAAGACACCCAATTGACCTTTGAAGCTCACGTTTGGCTCGTTTGAGATCTTTGGGATGGAGAAAGTTGCAAGAGTGGACATGTTGAAATTGCGGGGTATCGCGGTGGGATGTTCGCGTTTGACAGCTTGGAGAAACGGATTGTTCCGAAGTAAACTCCTGAGACTTTTAGTAGCCATTGCGGAAATAGATACTGCAAATAATTGCCAAAGAATCGACTGTGAGAACTCAAAATGAGCGTACCTCAAAATGCTTTGATGGTTGATGAAGCTCTGCGAGACAAGCAGCTGTCGGTTTACATATGCAGACCCTTGGCCGGCTACCAACGGCACTGCGACATGATAAAGTTATGGAGGGGCAGTCATCATCCCTGCAACTTCGTCCTAGATCGGAGCCTTCCAATTGTTATTGAGTCAGTGATATTAATTAACATTTGATCATGGTTATGGTTTATAGAAATGCGAACGGCTGTACTGGAATTTCTATGTCGATTTTTGCTCTCCTTGACAAATAGCGTCGGCGTTCTAATCATCTCAATCATCTCCTATCTCTAGCTATGTTATATCACCTGGGAGCTGCATTCGACTACCTCTCAAAGCAGTGATAGATTTCATATTCTCTCCCACATCTCAAATACATATCGTATCCCATTCTCCTCTTGTATTCCCTCTGGTACTGTTTCTCCCGTCCATCGATCCAGGTCATCTTTACTCTTTCGCACCCAGCCACTTGCCTTCCCATCCTCTCGTAACATGATCGGAAAGAAGGTATCGCATTCGAATTCACTCAGTACTCTGGTCAATAATATGCGTTTCGCTTCCTTGGTGTCCAGAGAAGCCTTGTATATCTGTGCTCCGCCAATAACGAACGATTTCGATGCCACACTCCCTGATTGTGTCTTCGCAAATTCCGCAGCTTGGCTCAAGGACTTTGCCACGATCTTCTCGCCTTCGTTTGCTGCACTAGCATCTCCACGGCTAACAACAATATTTGTACGATCTTTCAGTGGCCTAAACTTTGCTGGTATGCTGTCCCAAGTCTTGCGGCCCATGATAACTGTATTCGTGGCCTTGAGGCCAGTCAGCTAGAGGTCAAGTCGCCGACATAGAACAGACTTACACCCGGGCTCGTACGCCTCGTGACGCGTGCAAAATAGGCCATCTCTTTCTTAAGCCCTGTCCAGGGAAGAGTGCCTGCTCGTCCAATCCCCATACTGTTTGTCGCCGCCACGATCAAGGTGAGCTCTTGTGGGATCATGCTGGAATCGCTGGAGGAGCTAATGATGTCGGGGGAATCTGACATGGCAGAAAGTAGGAAGCGAAGGGCGGCTCCTCTGATAATCGTGGGACTGACGGTGCTGTGGAGAGTAGCAGGACTAAGAATTTGAGATTGAAGTGGAGGTGGAAGTGGGAAGTGAGAAGTGATGGCGGGGGAAAGAGACGGGAAGCACTGAAAGTACGATGGGGGGCGTTAGGGTGAGACGCGAATTCACGTGGAGGGGACAGGACGCGCCGCTGGCTTCCAGGACAGTTTTATCTACTTTTTAAGGTCTTGGCAGACATTTGGTGGGATATCTTTTTGATGTGAAATTTCCAGAGGTAAGGTAGCACAAGAAAGGCTTGCCGATTTGAACATTTTCAGAGCATTAAGGTACGAGTACGAGTAGTCGGCGAGCTTTTGAGCTTCTTTGAGTGCAGCCTCAGCCTCAGCTTTGCGACGAGGACCCCTGCAGTGCAGGAAAGTAGGGGACGTCGTGCGACCAATGGGGGGATGGGCTTGGCAATATCCTGAACCTCGGCGTGTCTAATGACAACTCCAACCAAGGTATGTGATCCACATGCTCATGACAGCCTCGATAGGGACAGGGACAACAGTGATCGAACTGTGAAATATTCAGCAAGCGGTGGCTGGTTCTAAATGCTCCAACGATGGCCTCTAATGACTTCGCCCTAGCCCAACAGCGGCTCGCAGCAAGACGACAGGCACGAGAGGCAGATGCTCAGGCTCGAATACTTGCGCAACAACAAGCTGCGCAGGCCTCAAATCAACTGAACCAACTCCCTTACCCCCTCAACCGACTCGGACACGCAGGTATATCAGTATGGGATGGCATAAACGGGCGAGAGGGTACTCGGCCAGCCTTCAGAGTTGGGCAGGTGGACGCTGAGCTCTTGGACGAGGAGCTGCTCGAGCTACTGAAGGGACAAGTGGGAGACGCACTGAAATACTTCGGATCGCATCTGCAGGACGACTGGTCTGCCGAGATCATGCTTGCACTACGAGCAATACTGTTCAAAGTCACAGTCTGGGACCACGATGCGACGTACGGCGCTGCGCTGCAGAATCTGAAATTTACAGATGCGAGACACAAAGGGCCTGTCTTGGTAACCCCCTCAAAATGGCAGAAGACCTTCTATGGACTATTCACAGTTGGGGGAAAATATGCTTGGACGAGGTGGGAGAACTGGCTTGTGGATAATGACAACGGCTACGATCAGCTGAGTCCAACTTTTCGGAAGCTATCAAGGTTATCGGATTCTATATCAACAGTTCACTCTACAGCCGCTTTTGCTTCTTTTCTGGTATTCCTTGTAAATGGGAGGTATCGAACACTACTTGATAGGATGTTAAGACTCCGTCTGGCTCCTCCTACAAGTCAGGTTAGTCGAGAAGTATCATTCGAATATCTCAATCGACAGCTGGTATGGCACGCCTTTACAGAGTTTCTACTGTTTGTGTTGCCTCTCGTTGGGATCAGTAGATGGAGACGATGGCTCGCGCGAGCCTGGCGGAAAACGAAGTCAGTGATGCGCAGCGCCAGAGAAGATGAGACTGAGATCAAGAGCGGAGAATTTGCTTTCCTGCCGGAGAGAACTTGTGCGATCTGCTACCAGGACCAGAATACAACATCAACATCTGAGGCGGAGGTGATTGCTGCTTCTGGGGCATCAGGAGTCGTTGGATCAGCTCAGACCGATATCACCAATCCGTACGAGACTACTCCCTGTGGTTGTATATACTGCTTTGTCTGCTTAGCCAGCCGACTCGAAGCAGAGGATGGGGAAGGTTGGATCTGTTTGAGGTGTGGCACAGAAGTCAAGGAATGCAAACCATGGAGTGGAGACGTAATCGAGGAGGCGTCTAAACCCACGGGGCCATCTAAATCAGTGGGATTTTCAGAACCGAGTGTTATAGCTAATATTGAGCATTGTCCGGAGAATGGGAATGCACAAAGTCAAGGTGTTAGAGATGAAGACTCTTCATCAGAACCCTCGGCACTTGGAGACTCAGAAGCGTTCGACGAGGAAGAAGATGGGGTGATTGAAGATGATGAATGATTTCATTTATCGTACAAAATATTGCGAGGACTGGCGTTACAATTTCCAAGGAAAAGCGTAGATATTGTTTGATTTGTTGACATGAAGATAAGATATTACTTCTAGCGCAAGGAAAAAGTGTTCGACTTGATGTTTTTGGCCAATCTTGGCAACACTTACCTAACTCCACCTACGAGTCAACTCACCCCTTTGAGGCAGGCGGCAAGGTCTCTATCTAAATAACTAGAGGGTGGAAAATTAGAGGAATTACAACTTACAAGTCAGTCACCGACTATGGACAACAGGTACAGGAGATTAATGTTGACTCAAGGAAGAGGGACCCTGAGATGGCTTGAACAGTAGATGCTGACCTGCTTACTATCATATGGCAGCCCTTCTAGCCGCAGCACAGAGAAGAGAGAAGTCACAATTTAGATAGCTAGACTTTACGGAATTAGTAGGGTGTTGGTATTGTACTGGTAGACAGCTAGACTATACCGAAATAGTAAGGTATTGGTATTGTACTGAGAGACAAATAACAAGTGTATATCGATACACGTCAAATTCCAAGTGTTCAATTCAAAGGTGCTCAAAAGTGTATTGTAAGGAGTGTCTAAGGTTTAGAATATATGCCACTCGCGACTGGCACGGTTCGCCTCCGAAAGGGGTCCGTCACCCTGACTGGGATTTCCCGTCCACCTGATTGCCCTTACTTCGTACTCGTATATTCCTCTGAATAAGTCTGCAGACCAACATTACTAATCCATATAATGTTCGTGTTCCTCGTACTTTACTTATAACGCACCCCAACCCACCACCCATCGCATCTCCCCGCATTTCAACACTAGCCCCCGCCCCCGCCCTCCTTCGAGCTGAAGCTTCACTGCCTACTGGACGCCTCAAACATGACAGACGCTTGCAACAAGTTTACCCCTCTCTTGGAATTGGCCTCTCAGAAAAAGAAAGCCACTTCGTCTTCGCCATATCTTTCGCTCAATCCTGCGCTCGATCTTCTCTAGATCATCTATCCAGCAACCTTATGCTTTCTATGATTTCCTGGTAGTACAGTGTCGTGTGAGCGAGTGAGTTGTGCAGTGCAGTGCAGTGCAGCGCAGCGCTCCTGCTCGGCCGAGAGGATTCAGAAGCACAGGGCAGTTAGTGGACTAGACAGTTGAGTCAGAGGCATGTCTCCAGGGAGTAAACCAGTAACAGGCCGCCGTACGGTGTGTGACCACTGTCGAAGACGACGTAAGTCAAACATTATTTCCTCACAGCACACGCGCATCTGATCTACATGACGGCTATTTGTCTATCAGATTTACTTCCCGCGGCCTAAACCTGGAGCTTGAGCGCTGACTAGCTATAGGAATCCGATGTGATGGTGAATTCCCGTGTAACCAATGCGGCAATGCATCGTTGACATGCAAGAGAGAACATGTCCCTAAGAGGCGAGGACCAAAGAGGGGAACGGGAAGGGTCATCAATGAGTTGAGGGCTCAAGATGGTCATGGTGATGAACTACCCAATGTTAAGGGACAAGGGTCAAATGGTTCTGGGGGAAGCCAGACTTCCGGTCCACCGTCGTGAGTTCATTGTCTTTATATCCTCCTTATTTGAAAGCTGTCCTGGATATCAATCATGTGACCACCTCCTCGTCTCCAACATGCTACATCGCTTCATTCACACAAATCTCTCAGCTCATAAAATCTCCAGAATCGATCAATGGATATCAGACTCCACAGACGCCATATCCCCAACCCTCAACCAACAAATATGGCACCCCATAATGTCCGAACCATCTCATGCCCTTCCAGACGAACCAAACAGCATCTTCACCACCGACCAATTCCGTCCAACAAGTCCATCCTACCTTCACCTAATCCCCACTTGCATCGACCTCTTCATGGAACACATTTATCCCATTATGCCATTGGTCCACATGCCCACGCTTCGCGATTCCATCACTCGTCCTCTCGAAATGTACGAGAAGAACCTGCTCTACTCTCTCTGCGCCTTGACCTCAACTCATATGTCTGGGAAAAGCATCCTAGCTCCTGGTCCTCCCTCATGGGAAGCAGCCGGACGATTCTTCCTAGATGAATGTATTTCGGTTCGGCAATCTTACGATTTCGTGGAAGATAAGACGTTATCTGCCGTCATATCGTCCTATTTTGTATCAACGGCATTCTTTGAGTTGAATCAGAACCGCAAGTCTTGGTACTATTTGAGGGAGGCATTAACGATGGGCCAAGATCTAGGATTTCATGACGAGCATACATATGTGGGTTTATCGCCTGCAGAGGCGTTGTGTAGAAGACGGACTTTTTGGATTCTTTACGTGACTGAACGGTACACCAACTCCCTTCAGCCCTTTACCCCAAACATTCCCTAACAAAACCCAGATCCTTCGCCATCCTCCGCCACAAACCGCTCACTCTCCAGAAAACTCCCGAATTCCCCTCCACCCTCCACAGCTACGAATCCCCCGAGATCCACTCCGGCTTCATGCACCTGGTAAACAGCTACCACCTCCTCGACTCCTCCTTCGTCGACTCCTGGAACGAATCCGCCTCCGCCCCGGCCTCGACCGCAACCTACACCTCCCTCCAACAACAGCTGTCCCGGCCGCACCCCACATCCCTATCTCTAACCTCGATCCAAAAAGCCGACATCCTCGTAACACAGCAATGGCTACGCCTGATAGTCTGGCAGTCCAGCATGCGCCAAGGCCTACTGAGCAGCACCGCCTCGGAAGAAAGCATGACATTCCGCTACCCGCTGAAGATCGCCCACTCCCTCCTGGACGTGATATCCAGCCTGCCCACGTACAGCATCGAGGTCCACGGGATGGGAATCTTTGAGAAGATCTTCGAGATAGGCAACACGATGCTGGACGTCATGCAGGCGTGCGGGACCAACATCCCGTCTGAATCGTACGGCGTGGCGCAGGACCCCTTCGAGGTGTTTGTCAAGACGCTGTCTCAGACGCCGAACTCGCAGAGGCAGTATGCGAATCTATTGCTGGCGAAGGCGGCGGAGAAGCCGGAGATTCAGAGGTTTAGTATGCCGATTAGTGCGCCTCTTTCTGCGGCGTCGGTCTCGGTTTCGAGATCGGAGGGGTTGACGACGTCCCCTGTTGAAGGTGGTGCGTTTCCGTATATAAGTATGAATACTGCTGCGGCCACTACGGCAGCTAGTTCGGATATCGACATGCAAGGTCTGCCTGTACCTCGGGGCTGGCGGGGTAGTATTGTGGGGGAGATTGGCGAGGGCGGCGGCATGAGTTTAGATGGTGTTGGAGCGGGGTTGGGACTCATGGCTCCTGTGGGTACGAGGCAGTGGAGAGGGAGTATTGTGGGGGAGATTGGTGAGGATGGGGTGTATAAGGAGCATGAGGGGGTGAATGGGAACGGGGATAGGGATGAGGCGTCGAATTGGGCGGGTGCGAGTGATCCCGTTTGGACGGCTGATGGAGGAGGGGTTGTGGGAGACGATGCGTGGTTGAAGATGGAGGAGGGAATCATTTAATGATTGAGATGTTGATTACGTTTCTCTTACGACTTCGTCTGTGTAGGGGGATGGATAGGTGCTTTCGGTTGTGGAATGGGTGTATTTCTGGGAGGCAATTAGGTGTTCTGTTGGCAACGAGCTATACTGATCCGAAATGGACGGATTGGTAGGGGAATGGATTGGAGTAAGTTGGACTGCATCGGTGTATGACTGTGGGTTCGACCTAGGAGTAATCTCCATGTACGATACTAGGGTCTGTTATGGATATGATAGCTGGTTCACGATGTAATGTACATTCGAAACTGGATAGTAGTGCATATTTGTAGTAGATAGATAGTCATCTCGAAGTATTTGCATCATATTTGGTTTGGCATTGAGTCCTGCTTACTTCTCCCGGGAGCGGACGCTGTAGTTGTTATTTTCGAAAGTGTGATAGGAAGTGCCGCAGGTTTAGTATGACTTGTTCAAGGAGCATTGAGGAGCAGCTTGGGCATATCTGGAGTGGCTATGCGAACCGAACAGTCCATGGATTTTCTCGGTACTGTAGATGATCACCTCGACCGGGACAAGCATACCCTTTGGTGTCGTAATAGTAATTGTGACGATTTCTGAAATCACCAGGATCATGAAAAGCTATATACAGTGATTAATCTACAGATTGCTGCTATGCATACACGCTTGAAGTGTCTATCTATATCATGTCCTATGTGATAGTCGAATCAGTCCCTGCCCTCAGCCATATAATCTTCTGGTTGGGTAGTGCCTCCACTTAATATCTCCAAACTCGATTTCTGCTATGCCATATCACACTCGCTATATCTCATTCCCCCAGGATCGTCGTTAGGTTGGATGTGTTGGCCTGGTATCTTCAAACGGTCCAACCTGCCCTGGTGAATGTAGTATTTACAGCAATGTAGCAGTGTAGCAGTGCAATTGTACCTCACAACACCATCCTTCCCTCAAGTCTTGCTCATTCACAAGTGCCAGCCCTCCAAGCATAAGCCTTCCAAGCATAAGCCCTCCAAGCATAAGCCCTCCAAGCATAAGCCCTCCAAGCATAAGCCCACCTAGAATGCCCCCCGAAATTGATCAACAAGCTGCCTCGCCAATGGCCTCCGTCTCCCTACCTCTCCTCCTAGTCGTCCATCACTCCCCGTCACGGCCGCTTGCTCCCCACTGGTCCCCTCCCCTTCTAACCTCCTCCTTAAGCCTTCAAAATCCTCCCCGCGTTTCCTTACAACCTCACCCACCACCCAAGCCGGAACCCTCCACCTCGTCAATCTTCCAGGCAGAACCTCATTCCGCCAACTATACCCCACCACCCAGCCCACGGTCGCACATAGGAACGAGCCCGGGAATTGACTCAAGGATAGTTGGACCGCTGGCAGATAGACGTACGACTTGTCGGAGAAGGTGAGGCCGACGAAAGGCTCGGAGGTAGTCGGGTTGTACGGCGAGGCTGCAAGTCGGTATTTGTAGACGTGGGGGATGATAGCGTGGTATTGTGCAAGGAGGGTGAAAATCAGAGGCGTGGGACCGGCGGGTAGGTAGTTGATTGTGTGGAGGGAAAGGGGGCGGATTAGGAGGGTGAGGAGGAGTGGGGGAAGGAGGGTTGTGAGGAGGTAGCTGATTGCTAGGAAGGACTATCAAGGAAGGACAGGTATTAGCTTGGTTCTTCTTGGGCATTGGAGGCTACTACATGTTTGACACATAGCAGAAGGCATAGAAAGGGAGAATATCGCGGCGCAAGCGCAAAGGAAACGTACTGCGAATTTCCTACTCCCCCAGACTCTCTCTATAACCCTCATATTATACACCGTCATGGCAGCAAATAGACACTCTGTCGAATTCGTGTAGCATAGTTGGTAGACTAGTATACGCCATAGTTGGTGATACCTCCATATGTGCGGGTCGACCTGGATGTAGAAGTAGTGTTTTGTATCGGTGATGCTAGCTAGGAGGGAAGTGGCTATAATGCCGTACGCGAGGCTGCGGGAGACAGGAGCGGATGCGAACCCGGTGGAGAGCATTATGGTGGTGGGTAAATCAGTGTGATAGATGGATTGGATGGAGGAATTTCAGATTCGTGGGCGTGAGGGTGGTTTCATTGTATAGGAGAGACTGTAGAAAGGAGGCCGTCAGTTGCGATTGGTGGTAATGTGAGGCAGGCTCGTAAGGGAAAGTTGAAGCAAAGAACGGTCGGGTTCAGCTCCCTCGGCCGATGACACCTATTGCCAGCCGATGGACTATTTCCTGATATGGCTTAGCGCTTAGCGTAGGCCGCTTCAAGCGAGCCTTGTCTCGTAGCCTCGCCTGCCCTGCCCACGGAGAGGCTCCCATGGACCTCTACGATTGACGTTCGTCTTTTCAGAATACAGAGTATTTCATGTATCCCCTAATTCTTTGTCGTGGTATTCATATTGGCATACTGCTCTGATATCACTTGTTTAGTTTATTCTATCTTAGAGGCAAGGGCAGGTGCAAATGGACCGTCCAGAGTGGCCGAAAAATCAATCAGTCAGCTATCAGCTGAGCAACTTGCTGAACTGACCGGCTTATAAGGAAACCACAGCTTAATAGCTTAAGCCGAGGAGCTTAAAAGCTGCTTAAAAGCTGATTCTAAGAATAGACGTATACAAAAAATCCCTGCTAAAGTCAACTGTATGAAATATTACTATTATTCCAGTAAAAGGGTTAATTATAGCACTTATAGTAATTATTTATAGAAATCTAGAAGCCTCTTAGGTTATACTATTAGTTATTAAAAGGTATAGTAGAATAAGATATATTTATAGTGTTTTATATAGTATTAAAGAGTTAAAATATAAGGTAGGTAGCTTCAAGACGAGGTTTAATTATCCTGCCGCATCAGACCGCCTAATTTTAGCGAACCGGAGGGGGTTTTTCCGCTCCGGGACCCCCACTCTTAGTAAGCGGAGCATGAAATCGATATATTAGGTACCAGGAATCTCACTCCAAAATCAGTAAAAAATTAAGGGCTAGCTTATAAGCTAGCTTATAAGCTGGCAATATCAGAGCTGATTAGCTTATAGATATCTTTAAGCTGATTGGTATAACGTTTCTAACTCGGTCGGTGTCATGAGTACAGACTTATCAGTTGGTATTAGCTATGAAGTAAGGTAATAAGACGCTCGATTCTTAATAGGAATTAAGATGTTATAAGCAGTAGTAAACTAGGTATAAACTTGCTATTTGATTTAAGCACGAAGCTCTACTATCTAGGAAACTACCTACTTATTATATAGAACTTCCGACTTCCTATGTAAGCTGTATAAGATATCTTACAAGGCGCGTAAGCCCGTAAGCCCGTCTAGTAAGCTAGCACATCACGTGACCTATATCCACCGTGATTAACATAACTATTATTATAACAATGAGCGTGGAGTATAGTACTACTCGCTAATTCGTACTATTCTCTTGTTAGTGCTATTCTCTTAATAGTACTATTAACCCTTTAGTACTAAACACCGACTAGTGCTATCCACTTAGTAGTACTATCAGTATTATAGTGCTAACCCGTGACTTGTACTAAGACTGAGCCTAGTTCATGATACTATCCCCCTTTTAGCTTAGCGTGTCCTCACGCTTAAGTATACCTAAGGAAATATCGACGACTACCTACAGCCGTCTTCTTCTTTTATCATACTACCTGAACACTTAACTAAAAGAGTCGATTATATTACGCTTAGGCGATAGATTAAATTAAGTGGAAAAATTATAGCACCTTATACCAGATATAAAAATACGAATTATAAAGACTGTGTATCGCCCTGCGATCCTAAACTGACTTAGTATAGTTAATATACCTGTCTAAATAAGATATGCGATATGTGTACCGTGAACCGTATACTAATAGCGTTAGATTAGAAGTCCCTTAACTCCTAGATCGAGAAGTTAAATACTAAGGAAGAGGAGGCGATAGCGAAAATCCTTTATTTAAAGAAATAGAAACGTTTCCTTTACGAAAGGCGGTAGAAGATAATTACTACCGGGCTAAACTTAATAGAAGAGCTCGACGCTCTTAAAGCGTTAGAAAAGGAAGCTAAGGAGAAGCGGAAAGCGGAGGAGGCATAGAAAAGTACTAAGTTAGTAGGCGCGGAATATCTTAGTTCTAGTAATATCGACCCCCCCTATAACCTAACAGTTGGCCTTCCCTTCGACCCTAAGGACCTGCTCTAGGTAGACCTGGGCTTTGTTAATAGAAACTAGTAAGTAGCTTTAGGTAGCGAAGGTTTAACCTAGGTTCTTAAGTGTTCTCGGATTATAGGTAATCCTTCTATTTCACTAGGTATTTGATAATACTATACTTGTACTAATAATCTAGTAGTTCCTCTACTTCGTATTCTTTAAGCGGATTAATAGGTTCTGCGATTATTTTTAGGGCTAGTAGTACGCCTAATGGTGCTTTTTCTAATAAGGATATATAGAATACTAGGAATACCTTCTTTATCGTGTTTAGTAGTTAGAGTTCGTAATTTAAAGGTCCTTTGACTTACTTAATCTTAAACGGTCCTAATTTCTTATAATCTAATTTATCACTTAGCTGCTATATATTAATATTTTTCTGTAAAAGATAAACCCTATCCCCCTCCTGTAGTGTTAGCTCCTAGCTACGCGTTTTGTTATAGTAGTATACGTTTCTTTCTGCTACGAACTAGAGTTCCTAGGATAATTCCTTATATAGGTCCTGAATCTTCTGGACTTAGATACGAGCTGTATTATTATCTTTAACTGTTAGGTTAGGTTCTCTATATACGATAGGTTCGTAACTGTAGTTAGCGAAGAATAGTGTTACGTTAGTTGTTTCTATAGTTAAGCTATTATAGGCGAACTCTATAAGTAGTAGTAGTCCTACTTAGTTATCTTATTAGTAGTTGATATAGTATCGCAAGTATACTTCAACGACTTAGTTTATCTATTTATTTCCTCTATTTATCTAAGGGTGAAATACTATTAAGAGTTTTCGTTTGGTTCCGAGGAAACTTATTAATACCTTCTAGAATTTGGATATAAATAGCTTATCCCGGTCGGATACTATTTCTTCTAGTACTCTACGCTTAGAGACTACTTCTTTAAGGTATACTTACGCTAGGTCCTCGGCTATAAGCGTTGATTTAACTAGTACTAGGTTCATGTATTTAGTAAGTCTCTCTATAATAACTAGTATTATATTATAGCTAACTCCTATGGCCGGGTCTTTAGATATAGGTAATAGTCCAATAAAATCCTATGATATCGATTTCTAAGGTTGTAGTGGTATAAGTACTATGATTATCTGCCTATAAGGTACGTGCCTAGTTAGCTTGTTTCTGATGTAGGTATTATAATTTCTAACTACCTCCTTGACTATTGCGCGAAGTCCCTCGCCCTAGTAGTATCGCGAAATCCTTAGGTACGTTCTTCGTACCCCTTAATATCTATATGCAGGTAGTCTATATTGTTCCTGAATATATTCCTTAGTTAGGCTAGGCGGGAGCTATAGCTTCCTATTTACTCGCACGTATTCTTTCTTAACTGTGGTGTAGTTATTAGTCTTTAGGAGAGACCTTTCAAGCTCCTGAGCTTTCTTTAGTGTTTCTGCCTAGGGTCCCTTGAGTTCTAAGGCCGCTACTTCTCAGATATAGGGGACTAAGTCCCTATTATCTAATTCCTTAAGTAAGGCGGTTTTATTATAGATCTTATCTCCTTTGTACCCTAGTAGCCTGCTTAGGGCGTCGGCTTTAGCGTTATCTTTTCCTTACACGTACTTAATTACAAGATCAAAAGAGGCAAGTTCCTCAGCTTACCTAGCTAACTATCGATTATCTAAGACCTTAGTAGTTATAAAGGTTCGAAGATTCATATAGTCGGTATAGATAATGATTAGATACTTGGCTCCTTACAGATAGATCTTCTAATGTTTATATACTTTAACGATAGTCATAAGCTCCTTCTTATATATATTATAATTTTGTTCAGCTAGGGATATTTTTTCAGAATAGTAGGTGACTAAGTGTAGTCGGCCTTCCTCGTCTCGCTATAGGTAGGCTGCACTAGTACAGGTATCCGAAGCATCGGTTTCGATTATACTTTCCCTTTCCTTATTAAAACTATAAAGGATTAGTTCCTTAGTGAATTCCTTCTTAATTCGTTAGAAGGCTTCCTCGCACTAGCTAGTCTAAGTAAAAGAGACACCCTTCTTAGTTAGGTTAGTAAGCGGTTTAGCGATTTTAGAGTAGTTTCGGATAAACTGTTAATAAAAATTAGTAAATCCTAGTTAGGATTACATATCCTTAACGTTCTTGGGTAACTCCTACTCTTTCACTGCTCTGACCTTTTCTAGGTCAATACTTATCTGTCCTAGGTTTATAACATATCCTAGGAAAGTGACCTACTTAACCGAGAATTCATACTTTAATAGTTTCAGTCTAGAATCTACCTTGTGTAAGGCTTCTATAACTTATAGGACGTGTCCTTAGTGTTCCTTGATAGTTCTCAAGTAGACTAGGATATCGTCTAAGTAGTATATTACGAATTTTCTGATAAAGTCCTTTAGAATTTCGTTATTCTACCTTTAGTATATAGCCGGTGTATTTATAAGTCCGAATAGTATCACCGTGTGTTCCTATAAGCCTAAGGGTAGGATGAAAGCTATCTTCTATTCGTGCCCTCTTTTAATTCGGATTAAATTAAACGCGTTACGTTAGTTTAATTTAGTGTATACTATTACTCTAGCTAGCTTATCCCGTAGGTACTAAGTATTAGGTAAAGGATACACGTCCCTTATCGTCCTATTATTAATCATACGATAGTCGCTATAAGGTCTTCCTTTAGGATCCCCTGCTTTCTTAGCGACTAATATATTAACCGCGTATAGTGATTTAGACTTCCGAATCTATCTTTTCTTTACTCTTTATTCCCGCTATTCCTTAAGCGTCCTCGTAGTAGCGTAATTATAGTAGTGAAGCTTCTCTGTAATAGGTATAAACCCTTCTTTAAAGTTGATCTCGTGGTCCTAGGGTTAATATTTAGGTAATACCCTTATATCTTGTGGATCCTTGAATATCTTTACGTACTTCCTATAGGGTATAGGCAGCTGTTCTTATACGTTATCCTTCTATCTAAGATAACTTTCAGATTCCTTCTGGCTAAGAATCGGACTCTTCTGTGTAGAGTTAATCGGTATTATTCTTAAAGAGGCAGCGCTAGCCTCCCTTTCGCCGGATAATTAACTACAGCGATAGTTACATCTATTAAAAGTAAGCGTTCTTACTTTCTAGTCGATACTAAGGTTATAGCTAT